TGAGTAGAGAGTGCCTCTTTTCTTCAAGTCTGATTTATGATGAACTATTGACTGTACTGGCCAAGATACCACGTAAAGGATGAGTGTGAGAGTGAGAACTCTCCCTTCTTCCTCCTTCCTCTCTTGTACGTCTAGACTGAAAGCCCCCAGGAAAAATGCCTTCTTTGAGAACAAGATGTTGACTGCAATTCATCAACCTTCTTGTCCCAAAATGAAATCTCTCATTTTGCTCTAAACAATGTTTAGGTTGTCTGAAATATAAACATCCTTAAAACTGCCCTTGAAGTCTCTGTAAAAACATTCAGCTTTTTTTTTTTTTTTTTTTTTTTTTAAGGGGGGAAAATCCCATGATAACCAAGGCTTACTGAAATTTCTTTGCTCCGATACACACCACCCACAGAAGATGTTACTCCCAGGTAAAAGCTCTATTTCGAAACAGAAAGCTTTGTTTCCAGTCTTTTAGAAACTGAAAACTTTCCAGTTCTCTCACTGGGAAGTTGAAAAGGAGCAGGTTTCTACCTGTCTTAATTGCTAGAGGTGTAGCTTGCCAGGGCTGTACAACAATGAGGAAATTGGGTTGAAAGGAAGGAGAACTTAGGATTTTTAAAAGCTGTTTTTACCCTTTGGGTAGGGCTCAGGTGAGAAAATATGTCTGAATTATATATAAGGACTCACTTCTAATCTCAGTTTAAAGCCTTAAAAGGGGGAAATCAAGAGACAATAAGATATCTAATAAACCAGCAAGATCTTTTCAGAAGTCTGAGATGGAGTGAGATTTTTTTTCTTATCAAAATGAAAACTTGAGAAACAAAGCCCCCTCTACCAATAATAATAACCTGATACACTATGGGATTTCTCTTATAAAAACAACAGTAGCAGAAACAAAACCTACCACTGTTGCCTACTCAAGTTGAGAATGTAATCCATGTGGCTGAGAAATCAACTTTCAAATTGCTAAAAAACTAGGAAATTAGCTAATTTCTTACTTTATCACTTTAAATGAAAATATAGTAGAGTTCTCCAGTAAGCTTTGTTTTCACTGGTTTGGGAATTAAAAAAAAACAGTTAACATAAATATTAGAGATTTTCCCCTTTAGATTTTTAAGATTATTAAGGTTTGCAGCTGATGGTACCTGGTGGACTTCCCAAGCACAAACCCCTGTGGTAGGGTTTTCCTTAAATTTTTATTCCTCACAAGATGCATGTACTTATATACACAAATGCACATGAATAAGATTTATCATAATCCTGAATTTGTCTCCTTAGAATGAACTGTGACTTTCTGTAACCCAGTTTCGAGAAGTGGCATCCTTGAAGTTCTGAGCTTTCAGAATTTGATGGCATGAGGATACTTGAGAAGAGAGTCTTTGTACTTCCACACATATGGAATTACATACAAGCCAAGTGATTCTAACTGCTTTAGTCCTAATGATAGGATGTAGCGATCACCGTAAAATTACCCCTAAGTTAAAAAAATCCTTATTTTAAAAACGTGCAGTGAAAAACACTTGAGGTCAAAAAGATAGTAGTTTTGAACTAATTAGAATTCTAACGTTTTTGAGAATACAAATCTCTGGAAATAAAAAACCTAGCATACAAAAATAAGTCAGAATGTAATGATACTCCCTGGAATGTATACAAGTCTCTTCAAAATGTTCTTGGGAGTAAGGTAAGATGCATTGTTTTTATCCCAGTTCATAGATGGATACATAGGGAACAGAGAGATTAATTCACCCATTGATGGGGCCAGAAAGCAAAACCTAGGTCTGCTTAGACACTGCTGAGTCCTTTTCTTGGGATGTAAAATATTTAATCGTGCTAAAATTTTCAGCACCTCAAAACAGGACCTGAATGTAACCCTTCAAAGTAGTGTTGATGAAGAAAGGATATGAGCCTGAGTTAATCCAGACTGCTACACGGAAAAGCCATCTGGGAGGGTATTTTGAAAGAAACAGATGGAAAAGGAAGAGATTCTTTTGAATGTGATGTAAAATTTACATTATCCTCCATGAACTTCTGTGTAGTCCCCATGTTTATATAATTCATCACTGTGTCCTTAGACAATATAGATTAGGAAGCCCAATGAGCTCATGTTCTTTTTTCTGAGTCTGAACTCTCCTTTCAAGGGCAAATCTGGAGCAGGGTCTGTAGGTCTGTAACACAGCCAGATTGATCAGTGAGAACCAACCCAATCCATCTGTGGTTTCTTTGATATGATTGATTCTCTTAGGACAAAAATTTATGATGTCACATCATTTCTTGGTATATTACTGCCCAATTTGCAGTCAGTTTCAGCCACATTCATAATCTCCACCAATGATTTATCTGTCTCTGGCTCTTTACTTTTGAATATGCCATTCATCTCATCTGTAACATCTTCCCCTCTTTCCCTAATCTATGTCTTTATTTTTTCTTCTGTAGCTAAACAACAACAACAAAATTGAAACTCTTCTGGGGATCATCCCTTTAAGCAACACATGGCATTCCACTCATTCATCTGTATCCCATTGTGCGTCATATAGATTGATATTCTGTGCTCATTTGCTCAACAAATGTTCAAATGTCTTCTCATGTGTGTTCACTGAGTATCTTCATCCCTGGCTCTGCATTACACTCACTTGAGGAGTTCATAAAAAATACTAATGCTTGGGTTTCCAGACCAAATAATCAGAATCACTGAAGGGTGGGGCTAGTGGTGTGTAGGTAAATGTTCAACAACTTGCTCTCCAGTAAAAAAAAACGTCCTGATTTGTAGTATTTTCCAAGTTCCATGGTGTAAATACTCCTACCATAGTGGATTTCAAGTTACCTACTTGCCATCAGTAAATATAAAATTTGGAAGAGATACTCACAGCTGCCTTACGAGGGCTGGTTCCAGCACATACCACTGGGTAGGGTTCAGGATGTACACACACACACACACACACACACACACACACACACACGCACACACGCACACACGCACACACGCACAGAGCTGTCAGTCAATTCAGCATCTGTGGGGGATTGGTTCCTGGACCCACCACAGATACCAAAATCATCACTGGGTAGGGTCCATACACACGCATGGGCACAGACACACACACACACACACACACACACACACACACACACACACACAGAGTTGTCTGTCCTTCAGTATCCAAGGGGCATTGGTTCCAGGACCTTCCTCAGATACCAAACTCTTCAGACACTCAAGTCTCACAGTTGGCCTTTACTCCGTAACTGTGATTTTGCATTCACCAATTCAACCAACTATGGATCGATTGTGTAGTACTGTAGTATTTTTTGAAAAAAATCCACGTATAAGTTGACCATCACAGTTCAAACCCATGTTGTTCAAGGGTCAACTGTATATGGCATATAATATACAACTGTATATATATATATATATATATATATATATGTATATGTGTGTATATATATATATATATAAAATTATATTTATATTATCTGTAGGTGATTCTCATATGCAGCCAAGGGTAAGAACCTCTGAACCAGACTACACATTTCTCAGATGCACGTGACTAAGTTTTCGTTCGCCTTATCTTCCCTAAACCCCAAGAACAGAGACTGAATCAAAGTTGTTAACAGACCACATAAGGTTATTAATCTACTGTTCACAGCCCATGATGCAACAGCGAACACTGCAGTCTCCTTTGACCCCAATGCACAGATTTATAAATTCATTTGCTCTTTTTTAAAAAAATTCCTTACTGATTTCCTTACTGATGAAGCATGAGAAGCTAAATATATTTGGGATCTCCTACTTAAAAATGTCAAGTTTGGTTTACATTTTGTTTTGTTTAATATTGCATAGAAACACTTGAACACAGTGTACTTATTTTTAGTGCCCCCAACACTCTTGGCTTTTGGGAAAGGGAACAGCTATGAGGATGATTTTTTTTCATGGAAACTCTGTTTGTATTCTATTTAAAGCACATGTGTAATTATTCAGATGCATTTCCCCTGTGTGCTTTTATATCTGTTTAGAAGCTTCATTTCTCTTTCAAGCTGCATTTGTAAAGAATAGTAGACACAGGAGATTGTCTGAATGGTCTTTCCCAGGCAAGGCAACATTGTCCCAAGAGAACAGGGTGCAAGGTACAGTTTTAGAGACCTCTAAGGAAAAGATCCCAGGGATAAATTATATGAAAAATCTGCAAAGAACTTGGTAACCCATGACACTGCTTAATAACTTCGGCAGGTTCTGCATGACGCACCTAGATCTCCCGGGCATCTCTTTCAACCCAGAAAGGGAGAACAGCAAGATATTTTCACATTTTAATAAAGATCACGTACTTAGCAATCATGGTTAATTTATTCTTCAAGATATACTTCCTCAATAAGCATGATTCTTATGCTTCTATGTACAGATTATAGTTGGGACAAGGAACTCCAGGCATACGGAACAAGAGAAGTAAAGCTGGTTCCTAATTTTGATGTTGCCAAAGATGTCAGAAACTGTGATTCAGCCTAACTGAAGTGAGACCTGAGAGTTCGTCAATAGCAAAATTAGTATAACCATTTCCCAATTTCCCAGTCTTCTTTGGGAGTGTTTTGGGATCACCAAATGTTATGGAATAATTCAATGAATAGATATGTTTCCAGTCATGGATCATGATATATTTTGTGGCTAATAAGTCCTGTATCAGGTCAACGGAATATGGATAGGGAGATGGAAAGGACAAAACTTGATGTTTAAGAGTTGGCAAAACACATGATAAGATTAAGTATTTGTTTTATATGAGGCACTAAAAGGTTTTATTTTTTTAAGTATTTTTATTTGTTCTGTATACTTCAGGCCTTGATCTTTTAGAATTTTTAAAAATCTCAGTCTATGTATTCTTGACTTTGTCTGAAGGATACAACCAATTTTCAAGAATACTACAATGCTGACACAAGACTAGAAAAATACTAATTAAAGATTTAATTTGGGGTCATATTTTTTTCACTATTTATATTAACTGGGGAAAAAAAGCATAATGAGCATCTCTTACCTGAGCAGGCTTCTTCTGAACAACTTGTTGAGGCTAAGAAAGAAAGAAAAGAATCATTATAATTTAAAAGGAAACACACATAATGAAAATAATCAAGTATACATGTTTTAAACATAGACACTTGTCTGCAAAGACAAAAATTTCAAGGTTCAGATGGTTTATTTCAGGTTAAAGGGTGTTTATTCATTATCTTCACATGTTAAAGAAATACAATGCAGGTTATCTCCATTAAAACAATTCCCAACTAAGGTTCTGCAATACATACCAATTACATCAAAATAAACTTGCTCTTCTATTCACTTTGTTTTAGCCTGTATATCACAAAACTTAGGAAGTGAAAGGGCCTAATTTATTAATATTTTGGTTTTTAAAAAAACCACCTTTACTGAGATATAATTTATATTCCATAAAATTCACCCATATGAAGTGTAAACATCAAAGTATTTTAGTATATTCAGAGGGTAGTACAAACATCACCACAATCTAATTTTAGAATAATTTCACCTCTTGTGAAAGACCCTGTATCCATTATCACCCACTCTCCATTCCTTCCTGCTTCCCTAGCCAACCTCCCATCCCTAACCAATCACTAATCTACTTTCTTTTTCTATAAATTTGCCTATTCTGGACATGTCATGTAAATATATGGTCTTTTGTATCTTTTGTAATCATACAATATATGGGCTTCTTTCACTTAGCATAATGTTTTCTAGGATCATTCTGTTATAGCATGCATCAGTAATTCATTCCTTTTTACGGCCAAATAATATTCCATTGTACGGATATGCTACATTTTGTTTACCCATCCATCAGTTCATGAACGTCTGGGTTGTTTCCAACTTTTGGCTATCATGAATAATGCTGTTATGAACCTTCTGTATAAGAAAACTTCATGTATAAGTTTTAGTGTGTACATGTTTTCATTTCCCTTAGGTACATAGCTAGGAGTGGCATTTCTGAGTCACAAAGGTAACTGTACGGTAAACTTTTTGAGGTGCTGCCAGACAGTTTTTCAAAGCAGCCTCACCATTTTACATTCCCACCAGCAATGTATGAGGATTCCAATTTCTCCCCATATGTGCCAACACTTGTTATTGTCTGTCTTTTTAATGATAGACATCCTACTGGGTGTGAAGGTGAATGTCATTGTGGTTCCAATTTGAATATTCCTAATGGCTAGTGATGTTGAATATCTTTTCATGTACTTTCTGGCCATAGGTATATCTTCTTTAGAGAAATGTCTATTCAAATCTTTTCAAAATGTATTTGGCTTTTCATTATTGAGTTATAAGAGTTCTTTATATGTTCTGGATACATATCCCTTATCAGAATATGATTTGCAAGTATTTTTTTCCATTCTGTGGGTTTGTTCACCTTCTTGATGTTACCATTTGCAGGATATTTTGTTACACCTATATCTGTGTATCTTTATCATCTATATGTATTTAATTCTGGATGTAGTGCAACTCCCCTCTTTTGAGTAAAATACCTGAGGAAACTTTTTTCTACTCAGTCTAAATTAACTGTCCAATATTTAGAGTATTAGAAAAATATTTAAGTTATTCTTTGGTGTTGTAAAAGGTGGATCTGAAGCCCAAGTTTTTTAATGGATTACTTCCAGTACTCACTCTCATGTCTGAATATAAGCCTTATTTATTCTATCTACACATCCCTGAGATTTGCAAATACAACTGAACCACTTTGATGGGGGCAGTGACATGCTTCTGTGGTACAAATGAAAGAAATAAAATTGCTACAGAAGTTAAGGTAAATTCACTATATTGTGAAGGGGTAGAGCTTCTATTCATTTTCTTTCAGAATTTCAGTGATGGTGTGATGTCTTATTGCCACTATAGTAAACGTGTTTTATAAAAATCATCAGAGCTTTTTTTTTTTAAATGAACAAGATAAAAATAAAAGAAATGGCAAAATACTTTTGTTTACTGAAAAAAAAAAGTTTGAGTTTAAACCACAGTAGAGATGACATCATAAAAGCCCAGGTTTTGAGATGATGTTTTCTCCAGGTGGAAGCCAACCAAGGATGATTAGGACTCCTTGCCTCTTAGGATTCAAATGTGTGTGCTAAGAGAGTATTCATTTCAAAAGAGTCATTTGTAAGAACAGACCACTCTTCTCCCCTCTCTTTTTTCCTGCTGATTACACCTGTACACATGTTTACTCCCAAACCATTTCAAATCCTCACACATTCTTGCAGGCTGACTGGTTCCTACTGCTCAGAAGTCCCCCTCCCTTTTTGGCCTAGGAGCCCACATTCATGTGACTCCTGCACACTGCGGGTCTCAATGAAATCCTCTGAAAGGGCTGCCAGCTCACCCAATTTTCCATGAATTAGGTCCTGACACTTCAATGAGGGGAAAGACAATGTCTGAAACCCTGCCAGCCCTGGCTCCCGGCCTAGTTCGTGTCACAGAACTTCTACCAGCTGCCCTTCCACACAGCACTTCATACTTTTCCGACCACCAAACAAACAGACCCTTGAGGACTTTCAATGCTGGTTGGGGTTCTGGCTGCCAGGATGTTTTCCCAGCCCCTGGCACCCAATGGCTCCAGACTGTGCCGAGAACGTTTTCTGTTGTTGTTCTTTTGTGTTGCTTTTATTCTTATGAATGGCTTTGGTAGAAAATGCAGATGGAAGCACAATACTACTGCCATTCATAAAATGGGAAACGAAACAAACTGCTGTCTGGAAATTTTGGGGGGACACCAAACAAACTGCAAATCTCTTATCTTCCTTGGGGCATCTGCTAGCTTAGATACCTAGAAACCAGTTGCCCCCCTGGGTTCTTGTCATTAGAAGCATGGTCGACCACTACATTTTTCTAAGAAAAAACGGATAATATCAACTGTGCATATTAATCTTGAGTGTGGTTAGCTGTATATTTGCCTGTGCCTTAATAAATGAGTAATAGTTTACACATGCATCTCCCATATGGAAGCTAAAATCTTTTCTGTTTTCAACATCTGCCCCTTTGTGACTGGAAGGACCCAGGTCTTGTTATTTTCATTTGCTCACAGGGAAACTAAGGCAGAGGGAATTTAAATAACTTCCATGAGATCATTTTCTAAAGCTGAAACGACCAGGGTCTCCTCATTCTCTTAATATCCCATATAATGCTCTGAGGAAACCCATTCTCAACCTTTTAAAAACAGTCAAATCCGATTCAACCCAGGAGGATAAGCTATACTTCACAGCCTTGGTTTCCACCTCCAGATTCAGTCTTCTCCTTGGGATGTCTCAGGGTTCCCCTCCCCACCCCACTCCTACCACAGCCAGGAAGCCTCATGGTTTTGTCAGCAGGGCTAGCTCTGATTCTCCTAGGCTGCTGATGGAGAGTGAACCCTGGGGGGCAAGAGGCAGGCCTGCAAGGCCCAGCTGTTCCCCCTCCCCGCCTGGAGATTCTGCCTTTATTATCTGCTGTGGAGTGTCTGAGGACATCCCTTTTAAAGGCATGGGTTTCACAACGACTGTTCTATTGAACAGATAGCAAAGCCCTCCAAGCTCCTGATTTAGACATTTTTTTTTAAAATTTATTTTTGGCTGCGTTGGGTCTTTGTTGCTGCGCGCGGGCTTTCTCTAGTTGCGGCGAGCGGGAACTACTCTTCATTGCGGTGCGCGGGGCTTCTCATTGCAGTGGCTTCTCTTGTTGCGGAGCACGGGGTCTAGACACGTGGGCTTCAGTAGTTGTGATATGAGGGCCCAGTATTTGTGGCTTGTGGGCTCAGTAGCTGTGGCTCGCAGGCTCAGTAGGTGTGGTGTGCGGGCTCTAGGGCGCAGGCTCAGAAGTTGTGACACACGGGCTTAGTTGCCCTGCGGCATGTGGGATCTTCCTGGACCAGGGATCGAACCCGTGTCCCCTGCATTGGCAGGTGGATTCTTAACCACTGTGCCACCAGGGAAGCCCCCTGATTTAGACACTTCTGATGGTTCCATTTCTAGTTAAGTCTGTGCATACGGGGAATTGATACAGTTTAGGTGCTCTGTAGACCTGGCATGCCAACCTTTCCAAGCACTCAGATTTTGAGTTCCTTATAAGATTGTTACACTTTTCAAATAGCTTGTAATGAAAATCTCTCATTCCGCGGTTGCATTTTAACTTCTAAAATCCAATGGGTGGAAGAGAGCTTCCTCCCAGAACAAAAGAACATCAACAACAAAGGACTTTGAAGAAATGCTTTGAATTAATATAATGTTAAAATAAAACTGTGAAGAGAATTAAAAAACCCATCAGCTGAATGAATCATGAAAAGATTAAGAAGGGCGCTCTCTAACCACGGGGACTTCAATGTGCAGTTTTCTGCAGGTTAACCCTTATATTGGACTAGCTCAGACAAATTGAAAGTACAATCTTTGAACAAATAAATATTATTGTTAAAGTCTGTAAATAGCTTAGGATACAGCATGCTAAGAAAGTGCAAAGGATATGAAAAAGGAAAGAACCTATTTTGGGATTTCTGAGATCATACAGCAAACCAGTATTTCTCCCAATGAAAGGGAAGAAATTACTGAATTTTTAATGTCCACAGAGTATTTTGGTTTTTAAGATTTTGTAGAAAGACACTGGTGTAGGAAATTTATTTCAGTATAATTAAGGGGCTCCCCAGCCCTCCTGAGAATCCAGCCTATGGTTCCAGGGAGTCTAGGTACTTCAAAGCTGATGCCTAGACAGCTAAGCTACCCCTTCTAGTAGGTACTGAAAGAAAATCCTTCATAACAAAGAACCTGAACATTAGTAGTTCATTTTAATACTAATTTAAACATTAAATGAAAAGAGGCTTGAACTGGGCTTAACCACTCAACTTAAAAAAAAAAAATGAGGCACAATGTATAGTAAAGTAAGGATGATCATTATGCAAAGGGTCTTACGTTGGTTGACCTTTGAAAGAAAATAGTCCTTCATTGGATCTCCGTGCAGATGGGTCTTTTGGTTTTATGTAAGTAGTAGACTTTTAATCTAATTATATTTTTTGTTTTACTGCCAGCTAGCAATAGGTGGTTTTGTCCCCTTGGTTTT